AAATCCTTCCGGAGAGTTCCGCTTTCCTCAAATTGCCTTCAAGGGCTGATCGGTTAGGACAGTGATTGGGTGCGCCTGGAAATAATGCCGCAGTTTCCTCGCAGTGGTGACCAAGGACAGAGCCAGTTTCTCTAGGGCAGATATCTTGTCTCGGCATCCAGGAGCGCCTTGCTTATATAGTAAATTGGCTTCTGGCGGTGCTCATGCTCACGGATAAGTACCCCGCTTACCGCAAACTCTGAAACTGCCAGTACAGGAACAGCATCTCCCCTGGATGGGGACGGACAGGGTTGGAAGAGTCCTTAGGTATTCTTTGATCCCAGCCAGGGCGTCCTCGCACCCCTGGCTCCACATATTCTTCCCAGCACTCTTGATTGCTCCAAAGAAGGGTTTGCATTTATCCGAGGAGCGTGAGACGAAACGGTTAAGTGCAGCCAGCATCCCTGTGAGTTTTTGGACTTCTCGGACAGTGCGAGGGCTTCGGATGTCCAGGATTGCTTTAATCTGATCCGGGTTGGCTTCGATTCCTCGTTGACTAACCAGATATCCGAGGAATTTACCGACTCCACTCCGAAAACGCACTTCGCCGCATTCAGCTTCAGCCCATACTCCCTGAGGGTGGAGAAGGTATCCGCCAAATCTGTCAGATGATCACAACTCCGTTTGCTCTTCACCAGCATATCGTCTATGTAGACCTCCATGGTGTTGCCGATCTGCTTTTTGAACATCCGATTCATCAGCCTTTGGTATGTTGCCCCGGCGTTCTTCAGTCCAAACGGCATCACTTTGTAACAATAAACTCCCTTCGGAGTGATAAATGCCGTCTTTTCTGATCCGGGGCATAGAGAGGGATCTGATGATATCCTGCTCGGGCATCCAGGAAGTCCATTCGTTCATACCCGGCTGTGGCATCTACTAGCTGGTCCACCTTTGGCAGGGGGTAGTCATCCTTTGGACATGCTTTGTTTAGATCTGTAAAATCTACGCAGACACGCCATTTCCCCCCTTTCTTCTTTGCGCATACTGTATTGGACAGCCATTCTGGGAACTGTATCTCTCGAATGGCATCGGCTCTCAGGAGTTTGTCTATTTCCTCGTTGACCGCGTTGGTGTGATGCGGGGCCATACGTCGTGGCCTCTGCTTTACTGGCTTGTGCGACGGGTCAACATGCAGCCTGTGAGTGATTATCTCGGGGTCTACCCCTGTCATTTCCATCTCGTTCCAGGCGAACACGTCTGTATTTCCCCTTAGGAACTCGATCATCTCCTCCTGTTCGGCTGTAGGCATCGAGGTCCCCACTAAGAAATACCTCTCTTCTTCTCCCTCTATCAAGGGCACCTTCCGGAGGTCTTCAACCGACCGTTCAGTCGGGTCTATCCGGGGGTCATCCATTCCGGACGCCCGGACTGTAATTGCTATTTTTCCATGATCTCTTCCGGTGCTCGCCCCTTCTCCTGGCTGGACGCCCGGCTGACGGCCGAATCGTTCTTCGCGGACGGTCCCAATAAAACAGGACCCGGACGCTTGGTCCCCCGGATCTCCATGATACCCTCGGGCGTGGCGAATTTTAACTTCTGGTGGAAAGTGGAGTGCACCGCCCCAACGCATGCAGCCATGTTCGCCCCATAATCACGTTGTAGGGAGAGTCCGTATCGATCACCACAAACTCGTGTCGATGATAAAGGGACCAGTGGCAACTGGCAATGTGATTTTACCCACGGGCAAGGCGAATGAGCCGTTGAACCCGATGAGGGGTGTTTTGACTTTGGTGAGGTCTTTGGGGCCAAGACCCATCCGTTTCAGAGTTTCGAAGTACATCACCTCCGAGGAGCTCCTGAATCTATCAAAATTCTCTTGACATCGAATTTCCCTATCTTCAGGGTCAAGACAAGGGCGTCGTTATGAGGAATCACCACGCCTGTCAAATCCGCGTCGGAGAACGTAATGCCAAGCTCACCCATCCTGGCCCTTTTACTTGATGGCCCCACATCACCCTCGGCTACCTTTCTTGTAAAAGCTACCCTCTTGAGGTCGGACTCGAGCTCCTTGGACGTGGGGCGCTCCAGGACATATATGAATGACGTCTATGACGTTGTCCGGTTCCTCGGTCGGGGCAAGGGCTCGTCTCTCTTCTGGCCTAGGCTCTATGTATTCTTTCAAATGTCCGTCTCGGACCAGCTTTCCAAGAACGATTTGAACACCCTGCAGCTTTCGGTGCGATGCCCGACATCCCGGTGATATGAACACCTAACTTTTTGATCACGGGTGGAGGGGTCGCTCTGCATCCTGGGCGGCCATTTGAAGAACGGCTCGTGCTTGATTTTATGGAGCCCTGAAGATGGGTTCCTTGAAGACAGTGTGAACTCCTCTGGACGAACCCCCTGGATGGGGTAGTAATCCCTTTCGGGGAATATCTTCGCGCTCCTTCTCCTTTCTCTTGGATTGGAGGGCTCGGCCTTTGTTGCTTCCCATCTCGTCCTCGACCCTCGAGTACTTGTTGATCCGGGCCATCAGTTCCCCCATATCCGAGGGAGTCTTCTTGGTCAGGGATCGGTACAGGTCCGTGTCCCTCGCCAAGCCGAGCCGGAAAGATGCTGCTGCCATGACCTCCGAGCAGCCTTCTACCTCATTGACCTCTTCCCAGTATCGGATGGCGTACTGGCGAAGAGTCTCGGATTCCCTCCGTCTGAGGGTCAACAATGATCCAATGTCTTTGGGGCGCTTACTCCCCGTAATGAATCGGGTCAGGAACTGCCTAGTCAATTCCTTCCAGGACCCAATACTGTTTGGGGGAAGCGTCTCGAACCATCTCATCGCAGAGTCCCCCAAGCTCATAGGGAACACTCGGCATAGAAACCGTTGGTCCGAATGATAGAGGGACATCATCTGCTTGTACTGTCTGATATGGGCTTCGGGGTCGGACCGCCCGTCATAGGTTTTGAACCGCGGCACGACGAACTTTCTTGAGACCTCCATCTCACTGATTTCCCTCGTAAAGGGTGTTTGTATGACTTCGTCCTCGGCCTCATCCTGGACAGTCTTACCCTTTCTCCTGGAGTCTAATCGGGCTCTGAGATCAACTTCTTCCCTGACGGGATGCCTTCTGAAGTCCCTGAGTTCATTGGTAAGCCCCTCATTTCCCGGGCGTCGTGTGGATTGGGTTGAGTCCTCCTCGGATTCATCTCCCTTCCTCCGTCTAGACAAACCTCGTCGGAGGTCGTCCAGGGCCAATGGCCTTGCTTTCCTGGACTGGTTGTCATGATGATGTTCGCCGGCTCTGGGTCGCTTTGGGGCCCTAGAGCTTTCTGCTTTGTGGTCTAGGTGGTTTCTTAGATCCTTCGTTTCCGCCTCCCGGCGGGAAGTCCACGGGAAAGGAATGAATCCCTCGACCCTCCGCCTGAGGCGGCAAACTCGTCGAGCCGGCTAAGGACGTTTACATTGTCCTTCTCCAGCTGACGTAATCTATCGCCAAATTTTTCTTCAATCACCTCCGCCAGCTGACGAGCCAAGGGGGCTGATCCCCCTGACCTGATCCCCATACTGGTTTGAGGGGTAACCCCTCTTGACCGAGTAGAGGCACTTTTATTCGTGTTAGTGTGATCCCTCCCTCCGTGATGACAGGGAGCTTGTAACTCGAGACTCCTTTGGTGGGGTCCTTTTCCTCTTTGTCGAGTGTTCACCATGGTCACTGTTCTTTTAGAGAGAAAAGACTTAGGAAAATTAGTCGTTTCCCACAGACGGCGCCAAATTGTGCGTGCAAGATCCTGCACAATATAAAAAACGGGAACAGATCTCTCCCCTGGTGAACTTCGGGTGAGTCGGTGGAGTGACCAAACACGCTACTTGGGACAGCCTGCACGGTACGGTGGTAACCCGGAACGGCAACGGGAGACCCTGGGAAAGGAGTGACGGTCCTGTGAGGATGAAAGGGGTTCCTGGAACAAAGAAGAACAAGTTAGAAGGGCGCCGGAGTGTTTTCCGGCGTATCCCCTCCGACGGTCTAGTCAGTCTTTGAGTGAGAGAGAGGAAGGAGAAAACACTGAGAAAAATGTATTGCAGTAGAGAGTTTGTTGTTGCATACCCGCTTTGTCTTTTGCAAGGAGTATTTATACCTTAAAAGCCCATGATTGCTGTCAGTGTGGTCAGTAGGTGATCATTAGGCACAGGTAGCGTGTGCATTGATTCTGATGAGGAATGTCTTCTCTAATTAACTGCTCGGGGTCCCGAGCAATCAATGCTGAGTTGTCGGGATGCCGACGGTACAATATGCTCCTCTCGGGGAGGATGTAATAAATGCTCTGTAATAGGAGCATTTATTGTCTTTCACTTCCGAGCCTTACCGCATTGAATGCGGTCTCATCAACGGAAGGGTGCAATTAATTGTTTGCTTTCCCAAGCCGCGTGTCAGCAACGGCACGCGGTTTGTCTGCCTTTGATGTGACATCATTTGCCACGCGTCCATCCCCTATTAGCTGTGACCTCTGTATTCCAGTATGTTCTGACATTACTTGTGTAAGACGAAGTCATGATGAACAACCTAGACTAGCCTAGGCTAGTAACCTGTACGTCAATAGCTTATCCTGGAGTAGAGGAAGCGTCCAGGACGGGGTACCTCTCGGCACCGAGGAAAGGCTCATCTCGGGTACCGAGGGAGGTATGCCGACCGAGGTTCATATCAGTCCGAGGCCACGTGTCGGTGTAAAAATATACCGAATGTATGATCCTATATGTCGGTACCTCGGGGCGAGGACCTTCGTGCGCCGATGGTGCTTGATCTTAGCAACAGTGCTTTAGTAAAACCGAAGACACGTGTCTTCATCATACGATTTTTCAGAAAAGTCCCATCAGCGCCCATTAAACCTTTTGTGCTTGCAAATTGTTCCAAACTCCAGCGTCCCTATCTAGAGTGTAGCGGGTCCACTAGTACTAGCGAGTAGCGACCATGGCCCCCTCTAATCTCACTCTCCAGCTACAAGAGAAGAGCTTACTGGATTTGTGGCTAAGAAAAGAAGGTGCAGTGCAACAATGGCGGATTGGGGTCCCATACTGATCGGACTAGTACTGTTCGTGCTGTTGCAACCTGGACTACTCTTTCAGCTACCTGGACACAACAAACAGCTGGAGTTCGGAACCATGAAGACCAACGGCATGGCCATTGCAGTCCACTCTCTTCTTCTTCGTCCTCTACACTCTCCTCATCCTGGTCATCCATGTCCACATCTACATCGACTGAATTCGTCTCCATCTTAAATTTTTCACCATTTTCTTAAGTCCCCTGGGTATATATGTTTATTTTAGCCTCTGAAGATCTGTCTGTGTTTATATTGGTTTTTAGTTTGATTTGTTCTATTTGACTAATAAAGAGGTTCATTTTGTGTGCTACAGGTTTTTCTTTATTTGGAACTTCAATTATATACCACAGATCTCATATCGGGAGGAAGATATGATAGGAAGCAGACTGTAGACTTTCTTATCAATTATCATTTGTGATGTATGAGCCTTTATTTCTATCAGTGGGACACTCACTTCACAAGACTTTCCCAATTTCTAACCATTTCCAAGTTCTCATGATACTTGACTTAGCCACATCTTGTTATATTTTTTCTTCTTTTTGCTTTTCATCAAATTCTGTAACGAAATTAAAGATCATTTTCAGTCTCCATGTAAACCAAAAAAGCAGCCACACAATGTAAAATAGCATGCCAAAGTAGAGAAATTTTAAAAGGAAAAGAAGATAGAACAGGACACCTATCCCCTGCTCTGCTCTATGAAAGAGGTAGATCTATACATTTTATGGTTGTTATCACCCAGTACGTATGTGAACACCTATTGCAACGATCAAGATGGTGTATATACAGACGTATAAGATGGCATGAACTAGAATGGAAATGCCACTGGTATACATGTTGCCAAATTCGATCACCCTCATCCTCGCTGGTAGCTGGAATAGCAGTCCGGGTGAAAGGAGAATGAACATGACCACTGCAACAACCACCGGTCCCCAATCAGCACCCATTCTCTCTCTCTCTCTCTCTCCCCCTACTCTGTGTGTGTGCGTGTGTGTGTGTGAAGTGAATGAAATTTGGTCTCTCTTTTCTTCAAGTATGGTTGAGAAAGGAAAGTAATTCTCTGTACAAATTTGTAGTGGCGCTGATTTACTTAGCGAAGAAGGAGATGGAGATACTAAACTTAAAAGAGAAAGAAGATATAAGGTTTAAAGGTGGGGAAAGGTACGTTGTGGTGGTGGGTTTTGCTTTATGGGGATAGGAAGAAACAACTTTTCCTAATTAGCTTCCAATAATTGATCGTTTGATTGGTTCCTTCCCATGCTTTAGAAAACGTTTCTTAATGAGATTTGGGTAAAGTGTTGGTGCGTGTATATAAAGGTAGACTTGCTAAAGCTAGGTTGGGTTGAGCACTTGAGCTGTACGTGAGTAAAATGTATTTCATGTGTACTCAAGAGGAACAAAAAATGTCGAATTGTACTTGCCACCATAGGTATTGGGCTCAAAGGCAACAGTGGCCTACCTATTGGGCAGGAACCAATTTAAATCATGGGTGCTAGTGGTGGCCCTAGCCTTTTTGGATTTTGCCATGCTCCAATGCTTCCTAATATGGCTTCAGAATCCGCCCCATGTTTATACCCATAATATTAATCTCCCAGTCAATATCAACATAGAAAAGTTCACACAGACGTCCCAAGAAAGATAAACAGCCAGTGGTGGCGAATCCAATGCCTCATTGCCGGATCAATTTGTCACTGAACTGAGCTTTCTCTCATCGCATTTAATCTCCTTCTAGGCAAGTCTTCAACCCACACTAGAGGCAGGTAAAGGAGAGAGAGAGAGAGCTGATGGCAGATTGGGGGCCAGTGGTCGTAGCACTGGTGTTGTTCGTGCTTTTGACGCCAGGGTTGGTGTGTCAGCTCCCTGGAAAGAGCAGAGCAATCGAGTTTGGCAACATGCAGACGAGTGGAGTTTCTATCTTTGTCCACACCATCCTCTTCTTTGGCTTCATTACCATCTTTCTCATCGCCATTGGTATTCACATCACCTCTGGCTAATTAAGGTTACCGTCTGCACCACCTGCCCAGCCGATTACTAAACAACATCTCCGTCTGTTTGCTCCTTAGGACAACATTCTTAATCCAAGTCCACATTGTATACAGCCTCATCTTGTCATCTATACCTTTATTACAACTTACAGCACTCATCATCCCGTTTGCTGTTCTTGTTTGTGTTTTTATTCTTTTCCAAGGGTTCAGTATCAAATTCTCTATATAGTTTTTAATGCATTTGTAATTTTGCATAAATACTACCAGGCTGTCATGTGCGAGAAGTTAAATTTGCACAGGTTAACAAAGGAGTAGTAGCTGGGTAAATGCGGAAACTAAACTACCCTCTTTCAAGCTTAATTTATGCTATCATAGTTAAACAAGGATGTCCAAAAATAGAGGACTGACTCGCAGTTTGTTTCAGGCTCTTTTTAGGAGAAATAACCAAAAATATTTTCCATCTTATATAACTGACCTACTAATATAGAGTTATTGCATTACCACAATCAGAATACTTGGAAAACATTTATCAATACAGAAACATCATTGCCTGGTCTTCCATTCGAGCCAGACAAATCTATTTGGACACCGAATGGCAGGGGCCAAGATAAGGATACATTTCCTAATTAAGCTCAGTTTGTATTCTAACTAATCTCAAAAATGGTCTACTCTCTCTAGCCGTCTTCGTCTTCATGCAAATTACCATGCTGCAAAATTGAACAACCCAGGATAGTGTAAACCTGCTATATTCTTTTACTCACAACAAACTCAGTCATGGCTGAGACAGAGATCCAACCAATTCTAATTTTGCTCAACAATAAATATAGTATGCACAAACAAGAGATCATTACGAGAGCAATCATATTAAAATAACTAAAATTAGTGGGGAGAAAATCACAAAAATACAGACAAGTAGTGTGTAAATCTCGAACAGAGAAAGAAAATTAAGAGAAAATACTCACCGTGCACATCCTTATGCGATCCAGAGGCTGCTGGACAGAGAAAAGCACGGCCCAATTCGGACAAATTTTGCACAATACCTACAAAATAGAACAACAAGACGAGGCCGACTACACAAGGCATCAGAATGAAACCAATCAGGAAGGTCACCGACCCAAACAGCATCAAAGCGAGTGAAATTCCGAGAAACAGAGACGCAAAGGCGGTTGGAGACGCCTGCGACCAAGACGATGAAACAGAGGACCCCAAAAGGCTCGGAAAGGGAGTGGGAAGAGGCGGTGATCCGAGGATGTGAATAATCATAGAACAGAGCTCGTAGAAAACCCTAGTTTGCTGATCTTGCGTTCTCATGTTCATCGGAAGAGCAATTACCGGTTGGTTGCAACTGGAATATTAGAACCTTCCATTCCCTACGTTCCAAACCCTAGTCTGAAAATAAGAAGTAGATAAGAATAATGTTTGTCTTCTTCTCTTCGTTCGTTTATCCCAGAAATCGAGACGAACGGATAAGATCAGTTCTAACTTTGACACCCTGCTTTGCTTACTGAAGGTGAAGGATGATGATATTGGACGCCGCCTACGTTCGTTTTTTTCATGCTTTATTATGTAATCTGTCTGTTACTGAATGTCAGAGTCTACGTTTGTGAGTCTGCCATTGATGGCTGAGGTACTGACATTAGTTTTTTCTGAGAGGCCATTCCAGGTTATTTGGGCCCATTATGGGCCAGAAAGAAATGCTAAATGGGCCAATTAGGACACACGACACAAACAAAGTTGTCCAATTACAAAGAGAACATGGTTCGGGCCAAGGCCATCATCACACATTTCTTCTTCTCGTCCTTGCCAGTAACCCTCTAAAACCCTAACAATTGAAATCGACAGACCTATCTCAAGGCTTCATCGCAGAAGATTAATTGTGTTGTGAAGACTGCGAAATTTGGGCTTGGGAGAGCAAAAAATGGCATTGACGAATTTCATACTGACAGTGGCAGGCGTGAGCGCGCTGATTTTACTGATGAGGAGCGACGTCAAACAAACGGCGACCATCTTCAGGCGCAACGCTCGTCAGATTCGCCATTGGCTCGAAGAAGAGTCCGCCTCTGCAGCCAAGTACCCCCCCCCCCCCTTCTCTCCCTCACCCATCTCCTTTTGATCCATGGATATTTCATACAATCACTAACATATATTAAAATCACATTACCTATTATTTGGAATTTCAAATTAATTCTGGAGTTATAGACCATGAGATGCCTTACGGATTCATTTAGTTTATTATGGGAACCAACTTTTATCAATTTGACTACATTATTTTTGTTGGTTCCTTTTTTAGGGAGATGGAGAAGGCAAAACCCAAGGAGCTACCTGGGAAAGATATTCCTAAGGAGGACAAGCATTAGATGTGCTTGAGCTTCAAGTAAAGTAATTGTGTTTTGGGTTGGACATTTTGTCCCGCAAATTTTTTTGACTGATTGCACTTTATTTCTGCTCTCAAGTAATTGTCTTTTCTTTTTAGTAGCACTTTGTATACTTTTATTAATGCTGCTGTGTGATACCCCAAGTATATATATATATATACTTTTATCAAATGCTTTGTTTATATTTTCACTCCTTCAACTTACTGGTAATATTTGTTGCACCCAAGTTTACACAGATCATGGACCGGCATGGCTCTTGGGTGTTCAGTGGTGGTTGATTAGCCTACAAGCCCTACACTCTTGTTAGATTTGATAACTACATAATCCTATATATGGACAGCCTCTGTTTGTTTGTTTGTTTATCGGGAGAATCTAACCCGATACTATTTCCTTTCCATTTTACCAATGGGCCTAACCCCAAGCTGAGGCCAGTCTTCTTTTCTTTCATTCTGTATTGCACTGGAATTGACTACACAATTGGCGATTCCATTTCCTTATGCCTCAAACCTCCATCAGCCAGCAAGATAGTATAAGGACACGACAATAAGTTGAATGAGAGATCATAATGGCCGAAGTTCAGCATAATCTGATGATCCATGGTTAGCATAATACCTCTGCATTTTAAAGTGTGCATGTCATCAGAAGAAATTAACATGGTTGAGGTTAGGCCTCTTGTAAATTTGTTGGGTTTGATTGCATTGGAAATATTGGATAACTGAGGAGTTTCAGTTTGAGTTATAGTTGTATCAATCGTGGAACCATTGTTGGGTTATACACAATATAATTTCAAAAGCAAGCTGCTATTAAGGTGAAAAACTAAGTGTGTCAATCCCTCCTCTTCTTGGTTCAGAGGGAGGCTAGATATCACATTTACAACACGTGCAAGGAAACAAGGATGCCTCGGCATCTGGCAACCACTTGATTGTAACTGAAACAACCATTTGGCAGAAATATTTCAGGATGGCCACAAGACACAGCTGCAATCATCCACGAGCTTTCAAGAGGTTTTTTTTTTTTTCCCCTATCCATCCGCATTCCACTGGATTGCCAGCCACAATCCTTTTTCTCTGGACCTTAAAACAAATAGGACTGAATTTATCAAGCTAGATCGTCACATGACAGTACTTAGGTAAGAAGAAAAATAAATCAGATATCATTGAATAATCATATACACTCCACAAATTCGTAGCAAAGAAGCTTTCTTCAGCTTACCATCAATAAGAGACATTTGATAAAGTTCAGAAACTACTGGACGTTGCACAAAATACACAGAAGCCTACTACTTGCAGGAAAATGAGAGCATTTGAGGTTGTATTTCCAACAATACATCAGAACCAATACATAGTATCCCATTCGGATCATTGGTATTGAGGGCATCAGGAATGGAAAATGGATCAATTGATTCGGCCGCCATACCTTTTGAATTTGAGTGCTCAGAGAAGTCACTAAAACATGAGCTGGTGAGTTCAGATTGATTTAGATGAATCACATCCTGCTGCACCAAATTGCTCCAAATGGTCCCCAGTGTTTGTGCTGAATTTGTTGACAGAAGAGAGAGAGCACGCTTGGATTCCTCCAATTGTGTCAATGTGTTGGATAACATTTTCAGGGGACCTCTACCACTTGCAGGTGAAGCATTGGTATCAGGAAGCCGTTGAGAGGTCATTTTTTTGGCGGGGGAAGCAGCTTGATTGCTTTTTTCAGGGTCATTGACAAGCAAGAACGGAAATTGTCTCTCTATTTTACTGGAGATGCGAGCAAAGGAATTTGAAGAAGTACTTTGTTGAATAATTGCATGCAATTTCTGGCCGTGTTTATCAACACTGGGCCAGGCACCACTACCACCTGCTCTATTGGTTGCATATGCTTGTGGACCACTAAACTGCAACAATCCACAAACAGTTAACACTCTTGCTGGTCCTTGTTCAGGTGGTTAGCTTCTGTCTTACAAAGCAAAGAAAGAGTGAAGGGGGTAGAAGAGCACCAGGATCAGAAGAACAGCTACATACACAAACAATACTATGCTGATATTATTCACAGACAAATATGTACTTAGATTATATCATCACAATAGGCAATTGAGTGGTAGGAGGCCTCATCTTTCGGAGTACTGTTCCTGATTCACCCAATCTACAAGATAGCCCTTCTAAAGTAAGCCTTTATAGATTGGAACTTGGGAGGTTGCCTTTGATGCCATTATTTTGTGGGCATATCAGTTCTAGTATAATTTATTTCCCTAATTGTAAGTACAAATGCTAATTATCATTCATCACAATAGCTGCCACAGATTCTAAGATGACCATACTTATGACAATAGACTCTGCCCACAAGTAGAGACACCAAGAAGCTGTTCAATTTTTAACAAGTAACAAGAAACAGTGATTTGACTTTCTTGGCAGAGCAGCAAAGAGATTTTTGTCAAAAGGTATGCAAAGGTAGCTTTCTTATAATTAACTGTTCATAGTCAACCAAAAAAGATTTTGGTGTAACTGTTGAAAATTGTAAAAACAAATGAACACAAACTAAGCTAGCACAATTGCACAAAAACCCAACCTTTCAGAATCTTTAAGGCTGAAGGTGACTCCAATCATTTACTAGTTTGGGTGGCTATGATCTTTGGCAAGCTCAGCCAATATGATTAGATGATGTTCATACCAAAGAATACCTATTTTTTTGTTCTTAAACCACGCAATATTTCAAGCAAGATTGAGCAAAATTGAATTGTAATTTAACCATCATGCTGCAATTGTAAAATAGTAATTAAAACATTGCATTTTGGGTAGAAGAAAGAATCCAAACCATGGTCATTGTACAGAAAGCTCCTCATGAATACAGATTCTGGCTGAGGTTTTCTTCTACGGCGGTTGTGACCATCAAGACGTTTTCTGCAGCTTCTCTTCACTTCATCAAACTCTCCCAGAGAATGAAATCTACCCAAAAAAAAAAAAAAAACTGACTTGGTGAAAAGTTAAGGTTTGTAAATTGTCAGACAATGGCAAATATAACTATTAGTCAATGCAGGCTGGACTTAGCAACTAATTGCTGAAAAATGAAATTAAATACACGGGCATTTAAAAGAGGAAAACCAGAATAACTTTAAATTACAGAAGAATTGATGACCTTAATTGCCACTGAAGTTACAGAAGAAAGGTAAATGTTAGCTTGCACTAGTTTTGTGCTCAGGTAGCACCCTCACACTGGTTATTCCCAGTTGGAAGTCCTGGATTTCAGCCATTCATATTATCAGATATTTTCAAAATACATTAGAACAAAACTTAGGTAGTTACAAGATGGACAACTAAATGCACACACGACAGATAGTAACAAAAGGACAAAAAAAAAAAAGCAATGGCGTTCCTCAGCTTGGTAGCATGACAGAAAATATCAATGCTAATAAGACAGTTAAGTTACCAAACAAACTTGCTGTGAACTCAGAAACTCGACCTTAACATTGCGGCTTCATTGTTGAATTAAAAACAAAACAAAGATTTGACATGCAAATGACAATTTAAGAAACAAATCTTGAGCTTATGAGCATCCAATCATTTCAATAGGGACAGTCATGTTAGTAGAGTAGTATTTCAGAAAAATCCCAATGTGCAACAACTTCCTCATGATCATTCAATTTGGCTACAAAGATAGACAAGCAATTTGGCTACAATTTTCTACATCCACATATCGTACAGCTGATTGAGTGGCCTCTCTCAGGGATGCCTACTTTCCATCCATGTATTATGAGGATTTTGCCATTGATGACAGAACATTTGAAGCATTAAAAAGATACCCAAATGGAATTCAAGAAAGTTCAGATCTATCCAAATTCAAGAGTGGTCTTGTTAAGTTTAATGTGATATTCCCCCATGAAGGGGTACATCCATGAGGACTTAAAAGAACCTAAGATTTATGGCTTTACCATGCCACTCTGAAGCAGTAGAACATTCAAAACTTCAGCAGTCGTACTGCCACCTTTTTGTTAAAATTTCTTCCTATTACAACCACTAGGCAGAGAACATACGCCCAGGGGGCACGTATTCTCCTTGAAGACATATAAAAGTTAAAACACTCAAAATTGGAGCAGTTGTAGTGCCACCTTTTGTTAGAATTTCTTTTATTACAACAGTCAGAGAACATGTACCCAGAGGGTATGGGTATGGACTCTTCTTGAAGAACACTTTAATTCTTGTTCATGTGGTTATTTATAATTTCTTCACCCAAATTAATTTCTATCAAATTGAACTCAGACAGTGAGCAGGATAGATCTCCAGCTAATTCGAAGAATATTTATTCCATACCTGCTGCATTGCTGGCAGAACCTTTGCTCTTTGCCACCAACAGTCACAACTGGGGTTTTCGAGTGACGCTCACATACCCTATGGCGCTGATGATACTCCCTGCAACTTTTGAGATCTGTGGTGCAGCCGTCCACTAAGCACAATACATTTTGAGTTCCACCAATTGCACGTGTCCGCTTCAATGAACTGGATGGTGACACAGTAGTTGATCTCCTTCCCTCCTGCAATTTATCCACTCCCCCATCTCTCAATTTTCTTAATCTGCCAAGTTCAAAATCAACAAAGAAACCTCCTCCATCTTTCTGCCGCCCTAAGCTATTAGATCCAACACAGGCAGCAAGGCAGCCATTGTCTACTTGGCCAAATTCAGTCAAGTTCCAATCAGGTGATTTCAACATCCTGTCCATAACACTTTCCCCTTTCACTCTGAAAATCCTTTTTCTCCTTGGCTCTGTTTATTATCCTCAAAATCAGAAAAGCTCCTAAAACAACTTGTCTCACTAGACCATTGAATAATAAAATTTCAGATATGCTACTTGAACTCAACCCACTAGAGCTATGCATCCGAATATTTCACTAAAAGAAAAGATAAATATAAAGGTAAACTTAAAGGAACCAATATATGAAGTCTGTAGATGTATTTAATTGCATAGAAGCCAAACTGTCAAAAATCCAGTTCAAAGAGAGAGGGTGTAGTAAGCTTGATACAGTTTAAAAATTAAGCACAAAATAAAGTGCTTAATCTCTCTCTCTCTCTCTCACACACACACACACATTTAGAGAGAAAATATAAATGTCTGAAATACCCAGAAAACAAAAGAGCATTTCGCACTATCTCAGAAATGAATCAAGAGACTTCAACAGAAAAAAACAAAGAATCTAGAATTCAAGGAAGATAGGAACTTGGAAAGAGAATTTCCATTGATTAATGGCCTCTTAATTTAAATCAGTGCAGTTGTCCAGAGCATGTAGTGGTATACAAACCAACAAATGTTTAAACAAAGAGTGAAGAACTCTTAAAAGAGAGAATATTTGATTGGTACTTACAATTAGTTGAAGCATAAGAAAACTGATTTGTGACTTCGTTTCGGTAATTCATTCCTGGAATGTGTTGGTTTTTTTTTATGGAGTCTAGTTTGTATATGTGATCCGGATGATGATCCGACTCGAAATAATGTTGTGTGGTTTTTAATGAAAATTTTTTTGAGGTTTAGTCCATGGAGCGAGGCCCAAGCCGTAGCGCTCATGGACAAGCCTCGTCCGAGGAAAATATTTTTGGACCCGTTATACAGCCTAGTGCGTAGGACATATAAACCCTGTTGTTTTGGTGATTAGGGTTAATCGTGGATTGTACAGCCGCTCTTTGTATTCAACTCTCTCAATAGTGAAATCCCTACAGTTTCGTGGACGTAGGCAAATTGTCGAACCACGTAAAATCTGTGTCTTGTTCTTTCTTGTTTCTTATTGCTTTATATTCTTGATTTGTTCTTCAATTGTGTGTGTTTGTTAGTGAATTTAAATCGTGTGAATCCCAACAGAATGGATCCACACAAACATCAACAAAGATGAAAAACAGAAAGCATAACAATCCCTGTAGTCTTTAGCAACAGGTTTAAGGAGTTATTGACTATTGTTCATTGCATGTTGGGTGCTCAATATATAATATGGTTAGTTAAAGAAAACAGATAATGCATTAAATGAGGCAACTTGAGGATTAAGAGGTGAAAGAAACTGGAGAAGAGGACCCCCACAGGACCTGAGAGTGAGATTTGTTTTGTTTTTTTCTATTGACCCCTCTATTTTTGGGACATTGGAGGATGACTAAGTAATAAGTTTAAAAAAGGAGAGACAAAGGAAGGACAGTGATAAAAGAAGCGTATACGTGGATTTAAAAAATATATTTAAAAATTAAATTTAATAATTTTAATCATTAATTTTATTATGGGTCTTAATATTTTTTGAGATCCATTATCTGTTCAATGATCAAGATTATCAAGTCTAATTTTTAAATTCAACTAACACTGCTCATAAAAAAAACAAAGGCAGGTAACGGCTGTTTTCAACTTTCTTAATCAATGACAGGTCATAAAAGAGAAAATACAGTTTAAAAGGATAATTCTATTATTTAGTCCAGAAAGAAGCCAGGCTGGCAGACATTGCCTTTTATGATTATATATTAATTGAATTTCTAATAAAAAAATAATTTAATGTTTTATTATTTTTTTAATCAACTATTAGAAATTTTCTACATTAAAATTTACTATCGTGGTCAATTTTCATACACCATCCACGATAGTCCTATACTCATATCCTTTAAAAGAATCTTTTTGATATATATATATATATATATAGATATATATCAAAAAGATTCTTTTAAAGAAATTTATAAATTGAATGGAGTTTTAAACCCGAAAAACAGAGACGGAGCCATTAGCGGGCTGAAGTCCAGAGTAAAAAAAAATTATTATTATTTTCATACAAGTCTACCAGTACCAGTCTACTAAATCACTAATTATTAGCCCAATTTTTTAAAACTCTTAAGGCTTAAGTCCCAATAATCATGAAAATAAAGAATTTTTCATAATTTTCTATTCCTATTTTGATTGAATAAGAGAGGAAATTATACAAGAGCAGATGAACAACTGTGCCAGGGTGGGCAAATGCCCCTCCTTAAAAAAAATAATTATTAGTATGATATATGTATTTATATAATATATTGTGTGCCCCCTCATTTATATTAGCCCCACATTATTTATCTAAAAAAATTAAAAAATTTAAGCACAATATTATCTACCCAAACTTATTAAAATCTACCCAAATCTATTACAAAATTTTTTGACCCAACATTAAAAAAAAAAATTTTTGGGCCACATAATATATTAAAAAATATTTAAATTTTGTTAGTCGTATGAATGCTTAACTTAATTCGGGATAAACAAAAATCCTGCTCTGCCCGAAAGTTGTAATCTCAATATTTATTTATTTGTGTGTACTTGTTGAAATTGTGAGCACATCATCAGCCTAGCTATTGGGTTGGGTGGTTGAAGTCACGCTGCTAATTCATTATGAAAAATGTTATTTACGTCAAAAAATTTGACATAATTTGTTGACTTAATAACGTACTTTCATTGAAATTATTGGATTAACACTAAGTTCTAATATTTGATGGAACTCACAGTCAATCTAAAGATCATAGTGAATTAGATCAATAAATTATATCCAAATAACATTGCTCATTAATTATTAGTGTAGCCTAATTAAGAGACGACGAATGTCTAATGAAGCTAGCTGCCATTATTAGCTAATGGCCAAGTAGGCCATAACAGATTAATTAATAATATTCCTTTACATCGCTGTCGTGTCCTCCGTCGGCAGTCGGCAACAGATGGTCGGAAAGTGCGTGACACGTACACATTACATAGGATAGGATAGGATAATCATATCAGAGACGATTTATTGCCGGTTCCACTACCCACAATCGCATCGCAGGGGATCCGGCTCCTCTGCTGTTTCTAGCGAACAGCAGCCCCTGCTGTTCCTTTAAACGGCACCGTTTGGTGCCTTTTTAAATCAACTGCGAATAACACCGGTAAATAGGAATCGTAATCATCTGCCTATTGGTCAAAATTATAAGTTTTTTGAGTAAAAGCTTTGCATTGGAAAAACATATGATTAAAGTTTATATTCAATTAAACTTATTTTTGGAATTAATTAGATTATCGAAAAATTATTTTTTTGGTACAATATTTTAACTTTTCTAATGAAAAATATGACGCGTTCAAAATTTTTATATTATATGACAAAATGTAGAATTATGATAAAATATCGTATCATATTTTAACTTTTCATCCAATAAAAATGTGGGATATGTAAAATATTTATATTTTATTTTTACAACACATATTTGAATCCATTAAAAATAAAAAAAAATTGAACTAATCCGAGTAAATTTGCCAGACGAAAAGTAAATTTATTAGATTTCAAATTCGATTCTAAACATTAATCGATTATATTTCAGTTTACGATTTTAGATATTGGATATATCTAAATTTTATTAGGATCGTTATCCGACCTGAATTATATGTATAAAATAAAATAATTATTTGATGAGATTGTTTCAAAATTTTGATGCAATTTGCTAAAATTTTATTTCAAAGTTATTCGGATCAAATTGAATTTTTTATTTTAACAGATTAAAATTTGAATTTTTTATTTTAATGAATTCAAATATAATTTTTTTATGTTAATAAATTCAAATATGTGTTGTAAAAATAAAATATAAATATTTTACATATTCTACATTTTTATTGGTTGAAAAATTAAAATATGATACGATATTTTGTCATAGTTCTGCATTTTGTCATATAATATGAAAATTTTGAAGGCGTTACATTTTTTTCATTAGAAAAGCTAAAATATTATACCAAAAAAATAATTTTTTGGTAATTTAATTAATTTAAAAAATAAATTTAATTGAATATAAACTTTAATCATATGTTTTTCTAATGCAAAACTTTTACTTGAAAAACTTATAATTTTGACCAATAGGCAAGTAATTATAATTCTTATTTGCTGGTGTCATTGGCAGGTGATTAAAGAAACGGCAGGGGCTGCTGCTCGCCAGGAACAGCAGAGGAGCCGGATCCCCAGTCCAGTCCTGTCCAGTGGGCTTGCTCGCTCTATACTTCTGCTTCACCTACCAACCCATACACATTTGTGGTAAGATAAGAATTCTTTTTGTTTACCACTTAGGAAGAAAAAAAATTCAGAATTTCTAGGCTAGCTGGTGTTCATGTCTTTCAGAAGCCAGACTGGTGAGTCATAAAAATGGTAGTTGATTCATTATCAAGTCATAAAAAGGTGCGTGGCTTGTGAATCCCGTAGATCCTCCAAGGAAATTAAAGGAGATGAACACTTCTTACATTTGACACATTGTATATAACACAGTTTCCAACAATTAACCATATAAAAGTGAGAGGAATTATTGGTCTAGAAGTACTTACCAGGATTGCTTACCACTACCAGATGGCATGACAGAGTGAGAGGTATATATAGGTCCAAAGAATACACTAATTAACAGATTTTGTAATTATTTATTATCACAGATACATCTCATCGTCTGAGCACCTGCACCTCAAACCGATACAGAACTTGGTTTTCAATTTTGAGGAGTAACCTGAAATGTGTATACCCAAGCCATGCATGCACCCTTTACAGAAGAACTATCTCTAGTTTACTTCATCCATAAGAGGACTTTAAAAGGGAGGGCAAATTCGCATCTGACTCAAGATTTGCTCAAAATTGTCAGCAGGTTTCTCTACTGGATGTGTGTGCATCCCCTCATAAGTAGTCACCACAATGCTCTCATCACTAGTTAGGCGTTGGACTTGCTTCTTAACATTGCATCCTTGATGAGTGCACCGGTAGTAGCTCCTGCAAAAAAGGAACTGATTAAATTGATTCAAGGATCTTCAGTTTTTTTTTTTTAGCTTCGCTGAATACCAACCAAGGATCAAAAAATCACAGTGACACTAATATATATATATATATATATATGGTGATTAGTA